ATTTGCATTAAATTAGCGAAACGTCACGCACTCATAGGTATTGATAATTATTTAAACATTTAGAAGAGATTATAATTTCATAAGCGATTGAATTGAATGCGAGATAATGAGCGAAGAAAGTAATGAAAAGGTCATTGATATGGTCTGCGATCGTATCAATCAAATGGTAGTCATAAGCAAATCAATTAAAGCGATGATTAGTGACAATGAATCCAAAGACTTGATTTCCATTCAATACTTTGCATTAATCCAATCGTTCATTCGGTTTAACATAGACTTGAAAATAGTGATAATAAAGTGTCAAATTGACGAAATGGTTGAATCAATGAATTTAATGAATTCATTGGAAGCCATTGTTTACAACTTCACTGAATATTACATAAATCCCATATTTTTCGACGTTTTGGATCCATTGATGACTGAATTCGTAAACTTTGCGCTCGAGATAAAGCCGGCGCTCAATATCTTAAGGCTATTACTTCCGGAGGAAGGAGAGCTGGACTCGGATTCAGAATAGGCTTCAAATGAGCTTTAATTCAATTACATATTTAATTTAAAACCTTTCATTTCTAAATACAATAGATAACAAAAAATAGTAAATTAAATAAATTGTGAAAAACTTAAATAAATTTATAAAAACTAAATAGTAATTTAATAATAATTTCAAAAAATAATAAGACATTATTTTATATTATTTAAATATACTTGTAATGATTGTCTCAAACTTATCAATCAAATCACTAGATTTAATAATACAAATCCTCACAACATATTGAGTCCATTGAATATTCCGTTTGTCATAAAATATATGCCCCGGCATTAGAAACAGATTCTGGCAATGAAAAATATGTAAATTAAAATAATTTAAACAATTAAATATTTAAATACTTTGTGTTTCAGTAGCCAATATGGAAGTTGAAAATGCACTTTATTTAATAAACGGCGACAATAAAGTACCCGGAGTTTGGTTTAATCACATCAATTCCCGTGCCATTCAATATCTTTAAGAATCTGTTTCTCTTAAAAAGTGTATCATTTTTAAGCCAATTATAAAACGATTGGTTAGTATTGAGCCTTTGGTTCTCAATCTCTAATCCAATTGCAAATGCCATTTGTGTGGGCGTCGGCACCGCTACTATCGATGTAATCAATGATACTCTTAAGGGCCATAAGAGGTGGTCGGGTCCTATAACCCATCCAATTCTCCAGCCGTTGTTCACAAACAGTTTACCCCACTGTTCACCGTTAGAGTCCTATTCCAAAGTCCCGGCAGAGTTGCTGTCATTGAAGCAAACCATTGGTTCAGACAATGAGAATATCTGCATAATTCATGTAAATGTCACCGATTCTGGTGTGATGGTGACCCTCGTAGTAATGAAATTGTGACACTTCGTCGCTCATTATAAGCACGTCATACTTCTCACACAACTGTCCGATAAATAGCAGTTCCTCTTTGGTAAACATCTAGATTATATGAGATTTTAAATGTTATCTAGATCATATGCTATTAAAATTATAAGAATTTTTCCCGTGGGGTTATTAGGATTATTAAGCCAGATCATTTTGGTTTTGTTGGTGAACTTGGACTCCAACTCTTTCCTATCAAATGTCAAGTCGTTTGACTCGATAGCTCTTTGGCTGCTAAGTGTCCGGAGGGGCACATAGACGGGAACGCCTACAAGTCGATGACTGACTTAAATCTCATGAAAAATGGCTCGAAAATGATGACTTCGTCGCCAGGATTTAGATATGATTTGGCCGTTATATGTATGCCATGTAAGGCACCGGCCGTCACCAGAATCTCTTTATTCACATCAATCGTGCGATTCATAAGAATAGAGTAAAAGTAAGCTAAAGCTTTGCGAAGGGATGGGTGACCCTTATGGCCGGTCTTCTGGTGTATTTCAGGCGATGAGTTATCGTTGGCCACACTTTTAAGCGCTTCCAACAGATGTTTGGGTTATAGTTGGCTCCACTGAATGTCAAATCAAACGGTTTGTATTTGTAGCATGTCTTTCAATTCTGCGCTTAGAGTATATCAAACAATATTTGTCATTTTAAATATAGCTATTTAAATACCTGGATCATTTATATTTATTATATTAATGCTCACAAGCCGTCCACATCACTTCTATTGAAAACATTTGCAGTTTTTGGTGATCGCGGATATTTTGATACATGCAAGTGATCAACATTTATCCGCACAGGTTATCAGTATTTGATTATTTGCAAGTAATATGAATATCAAAAATATCATAATGTAACATTTAATTAACGCCATACTGTATTTCAAAATTAATTAATATTTTTAATTATAAATTAAAAATACTTAAATTAAATATCAATTTTCTAAGTATAATGAGTTTATCATTGCATCTAAATATACAGAAAATTTTATTTCAAAGTATGGTTATATTTAGGAAAAATATAAGTCAATGAATTCATATAAAAAATTAGTGTATGTTTGATTAGCCATTCATATTTATACTGTTATTTAATAGTAAAATGTTCATATCATGAGTGACTATAATTGGATTGACGGGACAGTTGGTAGATATGGTCATATAGTTTATGTTACCGGTACTGTGTTACAGATTATTCTGGCACAATTTGCTGACATCTAACGAGGTTCCCCATTAAAATTTATCCCGAATTCAATGTTGAACTCAATGTGAGGTAAATGTATGTTTGTATTAATTACAAAGTAATTTACAATTAAATGAATGCATTTATTAAATTAATTGACAATTCAAATAGGTACATTAGACAATATGTATCGTATC